CTCTCTCTCTCTCTCTCTCTGGCAAACTCAGCCGCCTTGGGCCCAGCCAGGGCCAGCTCGAACTCGGGCCATCCGAGGCCAGGGGGGCCCAAGGGGCTACGAGCGCATGGCCGCTGCCGGGCTGCTCTCCAAACTGCTGCTTTGCAACTGCCGCTTCTGCTCGCAGTTCCGGGTCCAAACCTCTCTTCTCAACTCCTCTGGCACTTCTGCGCGTGGACTCCAGATGCCCTACACAGCTGGAAGGCTCTTGCAACGTGAGAAGAACATGGAATTCGAACCGGAGCCAAAGGGTCGCTGCGTGGCGGCCAAAACTTAGCCGTCGCTGTGGATCCTGCCCAGGGAGAAGGGGATGAACCTCCGATGCTTTTCGGGTTCGCACACTGCGCACACGCGGGCCCCCCTTGTGAAGGGTCCGGTCGATGCCTTTTGAGCCCCGCGGCGCCGCTTGGCGGCACTGCGAGCCTTTCGCATTAACGCTGTTGTGAGACTCCCGTCACTCCGGAGACCCAGGCTCCGTCTGAGGCGCGTCCTGACACGGGCAATACACTCTGCACGGCGCGCGCCTGCGCGACCAGTGCGTCGTGGGGAAGTCCTCCGGCCCTGGAGAAGCCGGTGAGAGGGGCTCCTTTTAGCCGGACACTTCAACTCGAAAGACCCATTGCGGGCTCCGGTCGCCTCCTCAAAGGCGTCGTCCAGCGCGTAGGATCTCTCGAGCTCGGTCTCCTCTAAAGCCGGCTGGGTCCCAAGATGCTCCGATAAGCTCCGGGCGCGTGGTACAGGTGTTATAGCCTGTCGGTGCGACCACTTGTACCACGTCTTGTCGAGTTTGCTTACTAGTATACCCGTTGGCTGCAACACCTCCCAAAACTCCGACCGAAAGCTGGTAGCTTGACAGTCAGGTCGGAAAAGTCTCACAAGCCGGAGATCGCAAAACCCCTCATCCCCAAGAAGGAGTGGCATTGCGACCTTTGGAATGCCTGCAACACCTTTGCAAAGAAGGGGAATCTTGGAGGGGGGACCCCTAAACTCACAAAAAAGGGGCGGCAAAAACTAGATCCTCAGCCTTAACCCGCAATACTCACGGAGTGCGAACTAGAAACTCGAAAGTGCAAAGATGTGCCAAGTCCTAAACCCTCACAGCAGATGCAGACACTTCGGAGGCACCTCCTAAAAGGAGGCCGCGGCACTGCGGCACACTACCAAAAGAGTGCTGTAAGGTCACGCCGTAAACCCGAAAGACTGTTGGTGAGGAGTTCCATCACCAACAAGAAATATGATGTCGAAGCATACACTGGGAGACCACTGTATGATGCCGACGCACGACCCTCCGAGATGCTAGTCCCCAGAGGTAGGGAAGCGCCACGAGAATCCGAAAGGAGCCCTAGAGCGGCGAGATGCGGCGATACCAAAACCCCCGGCTCGGCGCCTGTGGGCTGGACGGGTCCCCAGTCGGCGAGAAGTCCTGAGAGTGGCACCAGGAGAGAGCTCACCGGTTTGGCTGGGCTTTGCCGGCTTTGCCTCCTGGTTGTAGGACGCCTCTTCTTCGATCTCGACACGGGCTTTGCTCTCAGAGCGCTTTCCCCAAGTTCCCGGGCCTGCCCGTTCTGATACGAAGCACTGTCCGGCGACTGCTCGCCCAAGTCCTGGCCAGCGGGCTGCCCGGGGAAAAGCTGAAGGGTGCCCGACGGGGAAGACGAGGTCCTCGTACGCAGACTGCGGCGAAAGTGGCGAGATCGGCGATTGCGGAGACTGAGTCCCCATATCCGTCTCCGTCCGTGGATCCTCCGCACCCAAAGCAGGCAGAAACCTAGATGAAACTTAGAAGAAGGCCAAGATGAATCATGGCTGGCCACCCGAGAGGAGGATGGGTCGAGGCCATCGAAGCCTGACTCCTCCTGAGGGCGAAGCTTGTCGAAGCCCCCCCCCCCCCCGCTGCGCCCAGATCAGCTCGGCCTCTGCGTCGATTTCGGGCTCCTTCACAGGAAACAAAGAGGCCGAGGCTCCTCCGTTCGCCTCCGTCCTTTCCCCCCATTCGCTTTCCGCTTTCTCTCCTCCGCCTCCTCCGCCTCCTCGGGCTTCTCGGGCTGCTCGAGAGCCCAGGGCTTGAAGGCATCCTGCGGTCAAGGCGGCCCCCACCGCGGCCCCTTTCACTTTCCACTTTTGGCACATCGCCTGGTAGGCCTCCGCGAAGGACATCCGCTCCACCTCCCCAGATCCTAAGCCCGAGGCCCGAAACGAAGCGCGAAACCCCCCGACCTCCTGCTGGATCGCGTCGATGGCCAGCACCTCCGGGCTCGACAAAAACTCCTGAAGCTCCTGGCGGCGCGAGACACGGAAAGCAAGCCGCCCAAGAGGCAGCCCGCGCCTGCGTGGACTTCTGCGCCTCCTCCGCCTGGTGCTCGGCATCTGCGGCAGAGGCCCGGGCAGTGCTGAGCTCCTGCAAAGCGGCGGTTCGTCCGGGTTCGTCCGAATCGTGACAAAGCCCTAGCCAAGAAAAACATCTCCTCCTCCATGCTGGGCATCTCACGGCCTGCGCAGTGACTCTTGCACCCATGTAGGAGGGCTCGCAAACCAACTCCCCCCACGGCGGCGCCTCTCTCGTTGATGGCCTGCGTTAGCCACTCACCTGTCCTGGCCGAGACACCACGGCTTATGACGCCAAGAAGTCCGGTTCAGAAGGCACTAAAGGCTCATAGCGGGACTCCCTCTTACGACTGCGAAGTGACGGCTCTCCCCCCAGGGTGGCGTGCCTTAGGTCCAGGGTGTGGAGCTCTTTGCCTCAGGCTTTTCTGGAAATTTAAAGCACCCGAACTGCGGCTTTTGAGATCCGCTTTTGGAAGCTTTGAGCTTTGTGGGGAGAGGCTGCGGACTGTTTCCTGAAACCTTTGGCTCCCCGACCAAACCGATCAATGCGGGCACCAATGGCACGCCGCTGCTGTCGAGCCTTCCCATGGGGACCAAAGACTCTCAACAATTCTCCTAAAGCTCCGCAGCTCGACTCCACAACACCATGACAAACATGAGCTACGCATGACCTGGTACGTCATGACAGTGATGGGCAGACGTCAAATAATAGAAAGATTCAACGTCTTAGATGCAGATGCCATGCAGGTCCGTTCTTATAGCAAAACTGATCGGCTCGCTTTCTCGAAGCTCGTCTCTGGTCGGTTTGCTCACCAGCCCGAGTTTGCTTTCACGCGGAAGATCTGCACAAAAACTTCCAGCCGGGTGAAGAAAGGCACTCGCCGAAAATCTCGTAGCATCCAATCCCGACAAGTCTTTGAGTTGCTTGTCTGACGGGAGGCTCAGGTTATGAAAACAAGTAATTTGACGCAGGTCTGGAGTGTCATTGTCGCCTGTCTTCTTCGTCTTTGTGCGCACCTTGTTCACGGACGTCCAGCTTGCTTGCTTACCCGTAGCCTTCACCATGGTGACGATGCACCACGCGACTGCACCGGCTTGTCTTCGAACGGCGGGCTAGGTGGAGAATACCGGCTTCCACCCGGGTTGCACATCCAAGCTCTTGAAGCTGCTGAATAGACTTCATCACTGACTTCATCACCACCATCTTCTTCTTCAACATCACCACTATCATCAGCAACCGAACCACCGACCTCATGCAACTTGCAACCTCACCAGGACCAGACACTTAGATCGTCAGCGGCATAATTCATGAATATCAGCATCACCTTCACGAATGACAGCAATGTTGTCCCTCTGATCACCATATATCACCACCATCATCAAACCCATTGCCTTCAACATCAACTGTCAACGTCACTAGGACCATCATGATCAACCAAGACGACGTCGACGACCAACTAACTACTGCTATTTCTCCTGCCGCTGCCGCTCGCTTTTATCTCTAATGGTAGGGTAGAAGTGGAAGAAAGTAACACCCCGGCCTGCTGAAGCTGCGACATGCGGTGGGCCAATTTCTCTGTCCACTTTCCCTGCTCCTGGCTTTGGGATAGGGACTATTTGACTGAGCTCGGCTACACGAAGCTGCGACATCCACAAATAAAAATAACAATAAGAAGAAGAAGAATCATAATCATAATAACTAACAATAACAAGAAATAACAATATAAAAAAATTGAAGAGAATTGAGTGACAGAGAGAGAGAGAGAGAGAGAGAGAGAGAGAGAGAGAGAGTGAGTGAGTGAGTGAGTGAGAGTGAGTGAGTGAGTGAGTGAGTGAGTG